AAAGAGAGGGGGGGAGGGAGAGAGAGAGTGTGTGTGTGTTAGGTTCTTGTAGGATGCTTGCCATAGATGCAGGCGAAACGTCAGGAGAAATGCCTCTGGAACATGGCCCTATAGCCCGAAAAAACCTACAAGAACCTAGTGATTCCAGCCATGAAAGCCTTCAACAATACAGTGTGTGTGTTCCTTTCCTTCTTGCCTTGCTGCCTCCGCTGGGCTGCTGGGAATTCACAGGGATTCTCTGTGTGTGTGTGTGTGCCCAGAAACCTCACCCATACTGAGTTATGGGAAGGCATTCTGGGAAATGAAGTCCAGTATTCAAAGAAGGGGCAAAAAGGCATGCTCTGTGAGTTAGCAAAGGCTGTCCAGGAAGGCAGAATCAAAACACTTCCAAAAGATGGCCATCCATTTTTACTTTATAGCAACCCTGGGCTATAATATATTTACAATAATAATAATATCTCTATATGTCTATAATGACAACAATACCTATATAAAATCTTGAAACTGGGTTATATGGCAGTGTGGAGTCAGGTAACCCAGGGCCCTTCCACACATCCATATAACCCATTGGCCTCGAGGAGACTGCAATGGGCCTGTATTAGGTTGACACTTTGCCACTTCCGTTGTGTATTGATAGCTTAGAAACCAGCTCTTCCTCTTTTCTTTCTTTCCCATTTCTCCACAATGGTCCACAGCAATGCGTGGCAGGGTACAGCTAGTAATAAATAATAATAAAAATTTATTTATATACTGTTCTATCTCCCTGAGGGGGACTCAGGGCGGTTTCCAAGTAACATCACCAAAACATACAAAATAAACAGCATAACATAAAATTAACAAAACAACATAAGCATAAAATTATCACAATAACACATGTATATTAAAAATAATCCTGCCTATTCAGAGCAATTAAAAAGCTGGGCCAAGGCTAGTGCAAACTCAAAATATGAGGGGGCTGGGAATCAAGTACAGTGCTATAACAGGCTAATGGCAATAGCAGGTACGGATCTGTGGCTGCTTATTTCTAGGGCCTATTAGAGGGATGACCGGGGTAATAGGTAAGAGTGAAAGTCATATTCAGCAATGTTTGGGTTGGACTAGAACTAGTCATTCTCAAAGGCTTGTTGAAACCACTAGGTCTTCAAGCTCTTACGAAAGAAGGGAAGGGATGGGGCCTGTCTTATTTCCCTTGGAAGAGTGCTCCAGAGGCGGGGGGCCACCACCGAGAAGGCCCTTTCTCTTGTCCCCACCAATTGTACTTGTAACAGTGTTGGGAGTGAGAGGAGGCCCTCCCTGGAAGATCTTAATGTTCACGTCGGTCCATAGAAGGAGTTGCGATTGCGGAGATAGGCGGGGATCGAACCGTTTAGGGCTTTATAGGTCAAGACCTGCACCTAGTACAGTATTGCGCTATGAAAAGGAGATCCCCACCCAACTATAAAGTAATTTCAGTCAGTTATTATCTCTCAGCTGGACCCTGCTTTACAATGTTGTGTGGATAGCAATGGTGAGAAGCAAGAGTGGTGGAAGGACATACAGCAACATTTCAAATTGTGGTTGTGCATTGAACAACACTGTGCATTGCGCAATGGCAATCAGTCAATTTTATTACTTGCCCAGTATGGAATATATCTCACCAAGTTAAAAGAGTGGATGTGACTCTTAATGAGACATGCCGCATTATCACAGGATGTCTACGCCCTACATCGCTGGAGAAATTATACTGTTTAGTTAGTATTGCACCACCTGACATCCGTCGAGAAGTAGGAGCCTGTAATGAAAGGACCAAGGCAATGACATCTCTGGCCCATCCTCTGTTCAGATACCAGCCAGCAAACCAACACCTTCAATCAAGAAATATTATTTATTTGTTTATTTATTTATGATATTTATATGCCATCCTTCTCACCCCGAAGGGGACTCAGAGTGGCTTACAAGTAATCTATATATATAAATTTCCTCCTGGCGTCGTATGAGGAAACAAAACTCTAAAACCCCCCAACGAAACTCCACCAAACTTCCCATGCCCCAAGGGCAACCAACAAGGTACAAACTAATCCAGTCAGAAATCAAAAACACACAACAACAACCACAATAAACGGCAAAGCAACTGAGCATGCGCACTGGCGCAAACTCCCTGGCGCGCGCACACACATGGCCCCTCACCCTCCCCCCCCGGCGCGGCACACACACGCGCGCGCGTGCGCCCCTTCACACCCCCCGCGCGGCATTAGATCCATAGAATAGAGTTGAAAGGGACAGTCGAGAAGTAATGAGAGAAGGAGGGAAAGAGAAGGAATGAAGGAGAGAAAGGGGGAAGGAAGGAGAAAAGGAAATAAAGTTAAAGGAAACAGAAGGAAGGAGAGAAGGAACAAAAGACAGAGGGAAGGAAGGAAGGAAGGAAAGAGGGAAAGGGCGAGGGGGGGCGAGGGGGGGCCCGGCTCCCCCTCCGCCTCTGCCGCCTCCTCCTCTGCAGGCAGACCCGGGAATCTCGCCCCTGCCACCGCCGCCGCGCCTGATGTCACCGGCCCCGCAGGTTGGTTGCGGGAGAGGCGCGCCATTCCCCACAGACACGCTGCCGCCAAAAAGGGGCCGGCCAAGCAGGACGCCCCGGTGAAGGAGGCCCACAACGTCGCCTTGGCAACTGGGATGCCCCCCCCCCGCCCACCCACCCTGCAACCCCCACCCTGCCTCGCCAAGGGGATCCGAGAGAGGGAGAAGGGGCGCGCCGGAGGCAGGGGTTTCCTACTGCCGCTGCTTCCAGACAGGGGTCTGCCCCGCTGTCATACCGGTTGTGGGTCCACCACCTGAGTCGGGAGCAACATCACGGTTGGGAAGGGGGAGGCAGAAACAGAAGGAAGGAGGGAGGGAGGGAGGGAGGGAAGGAAGGAAGGAAGGAGAGAAAGAAACACAAGGAAAAAAGGAAGGAGGGAAGGAAAGACAGAAGAAATAAAGGAAGGAAGGAAAGAAAAAAGGAAGGAAGGAAAGCAGAAAGGGAAGACTGAAATGGAAGGAAGGAAGGAAGGGAGGAAGGGAGGAAAGGACAATACATCTATCAGGCCATTGAGTTACCATCACTCATAAAAACACTGAAAAACACAGCAGACGAGACTTACAAACCCAAAAAACAAATCCACTACAATGCATGCACATAACCACATTGTTCCCCTGACATTAAGTCCAGTTGTGTCCGATTTGGGGGAGGGGGGGGTGTTGGTGCTCATCTCCATTTCTAAGCCCAACAGCCGGCGTTATCCATAGACACCTCCAAAGTCATGAGGCCTGCATGGAGCACCCTTACCTTCCCGCCAGAGAGGTACCTATTGATCTACTCACATTTTCAGGTTTCCAAAATCCTAGGTTGGCAGAAGCTGGGGCTAACAGCAGGAGCTCATGCCGCTCCCTGGATTCAAACCTCCAACCTTTCCGTTACCAAGTTTCACAGTTTAACCCACTGCGGGCTTCAGCATAACCACATGTGTATTTATGCATAAACACATACACACACACATATACACATATATACACACACAAAACACATACACAGAGATTGGGCCACAGCAACGCGTGGCAGGGGACAGCTAGTATGTAAATAAAATATATTGTATTATTACCATAGCACAATATTAGTATTCTATATAACTACATTGTACTATACCATTATACTGTAATATTATTAGTAATATTACATGTAATATAAAATACTGTATATACGCGAGTATAAGCCAATCCTAATATAAGCCGGGGCACTTAATTTTACCCATAAAAAACTGGGAAACCGTATTGACTCGAGTATAAGCCGAGGGTGGGAAATGCAACAGATACTGGTAAATTTCAAAACAAAAATAGATACCAATAAAATTACATTAATTGAGGCATCAGGAGGTTAAATGTTTTTGAATATTTACATAATACTGCAATTTAAGATAAGACTGCTCAACTCTGATTAAACTGTTCTGACCGTCTTCAGTGTAAATGTGCTTGTGTACCCTTCCAATAGAGTAAAATAATAAATGTAATAATAATAATAATAATAATAATAATAATAATAATAATAATAATAGAGTAAAATAACAAATGTAATAATAACAACAATAAAGTAAAATAATAAATGTAATAATAATAATAATAATAATACATTTATTACGTATTTATAACAGAGTAAAATAATAAATAACCTTGACTCGAGTATAAGCCGAGAGATACTTTTTCAGCCCAAAAAAAAGGTCTGCAAAACTAGGCTTATACTCGAGTATATACAGTATATAATTATATCGTATTATTATTATTATTACTAGTATTATATTGTATTACATTATAATATTATCAATATTATATTATATTACATTATTAGAAATAGCTTCCTAAGATCTACAGAATACTCACAGGAACACCTCAGCAAGCGAGACTCCAAAAGTGGCTGGTTAAAACCCGGAACCTCAATCATTGGCAGATACCAGATGAGAAACTCCCTCCTGGGCACACAGAAGGCTGGGTGACTTGGAAGGCACTGAACAGACTGCACTCTGGCACCATGAGATGCAGAGCTAACCTTAAGAAATATGGTTACAAAGTGGAATCCATGACATGCGAGTGTGGAGAAGAGCAAACCACAGATTACTTACTACAATGCAGCCTGAGCCCTGCCATATGCACAATGGCGGGCCTTCTCACAGTAACACCAGAGGCACTTGAAATAGCCAGCTTCTGGTCAAAGGACATTTAGTATAATGCCAAGTTTTCTACTTTGTTTGTGGTTTTTCTATACATTATAACTGTATTCTCAATTCACTTCTGGCACAATAAATAAATTTTATTATCCTGCATTCTGATTGCACAATGCCTATACAGCATGTGGATGTTTTATACGATATGAGGGAGTGCTGGATTTCAACCTTGATGTCCTCCTTTTTGGCAACGAGAGAAGAAAATGAGAAAGTAATGCAGCATAGAGAATCACAGATCATCATCTAAGTGTGTTTTTTTTTTTCCCATCCTAGGCTCGTTCCCCAAAGTGTGCATGCTGCGTTCGATAAAGCTGCTCATTATTTTGGGATGAAGATTGTGCACATTCCATTGACAAAATCTATGCAAGTGGATGTTAAGGTATTATCTTGATATTATTCTGTAGTCTACCAAATATAGAGATTTGATAAAAAAATAAAATAAGAAAAGAAGTGGTCAGAAAATAAAACTGGAAGTTAGTCCTTTTTGAAAGACATGCTTTCATCTCTCTGCAATTTTAAAGATTGCTATATAATTTGTGTTTTTCTAATAATTGCCTCTAAATTTTTCAGGCAATGAAGAGAGCCATTTCCAAGAATACGGCCATGTTGGTCTGTTCAGCACCCAATTTTCCTCATGGGGTCATGGATCCTATCGAGGAAGTAGCAGAGGTAACCATTTATTTTGTCCTTTATTATGTAGTTTCTCTACAGGAAGTAAATTATAAATACAATCCCTGCACTCTTGAAAGTTGTAATCAGTGGGAATCCTGAAGATATTTTTTAGTTGGCATCGGCCTTGCTGGTTGTAGGGTGAAACATCTATAAAATACATAAAGGTTTTCCTTTGACATTAAGTCTAGGTGTGTCTGACTCTGGGGGATGTTGCTCATCTCCATTTTTAAGTTGAACAACCGGCGTTGTCCGTAGATGCCTCCAAGGTCATATGGCCGGCATGACTGCATGGAGCATTGTTAACTTCCCACCGGAGTGTTACCTATTGATCTACTCACATTTGCATGTTTTCAAACTGCTAGGTTGGCAGAAGCTGGGGCTAACAGCAGGAGCCCACCCCCTGCTCCCTGGATTCGAACCACCAACCTTTCAGTCAGCAACTTCAGCAGCTCAGTGATTTAACCTGCTGCACCACTGGGGGCTCCAGTATATAAAATACTAGGCCTGGGTAACAACGCAAAAATTTGTTTCTAAAATCGATTTGTATTTGGGGGGTTTTTGCGTTTCGATATTTAAAATAATTACAAAATTTTCCTTTGAAAAAGTTCAGTATTTACGAAATTTCGTTAATTTCGTTAATTTCGTTTTTAGAATATTTTTTGAATTTTTTGAAATATTTATTTATAAATATTTTTTGAAATATTTAAAAATGGAAAATTAACAATGCTTGCCCTGTTGTGGAGCGAACACAGCCACAGGACAGGGACAAACTCACACACACAGGCACACAAGGGTCTTTTCTTTTTTTAGAATATTTTTGAATTTTTTGAAGAATAAAAGAAAGATATTTTTCCAGAAATATTTAAAAATGCTTGCCCTGTTGTGGAGCGAACGGCAAAGCCTCGCCGCTGCTCCCAGCCCAGGGAATGAATGAATGCAAGCAATGAATGAATGCAAGCCAAGCCTCCCTCCCGAACCTCCCGTCTCCTCGCCTTCCCCAGCAATGAGCAATGCGGCCACGCGGAGCCGCTTTTAAAGGGCAGCCCGCCCAATCACAATCAGCCACGGTGCTTGGGAGCGCAGGATTGGCTCCCAGCGCACCCAGCATCCTCCATCCCTAAAACGTCATTTCCGAAACGGGCGGAAGCCCGTAAAAAAGATGGAGGATGCCGTTTCGATATTTAAAAACACTTCCGGGTTTGAAAATATGTTTTGTAATCGTTTTGTAATTGCTAAAAATAACGGATATTTAACGAATTACAAAATTAACGAACGAAACCGCCCAGGCCTATAAAATACCTATTGATCTATTCACATTTGCATGTTTTCAAACTGCTAGGTTGGCAGAAGCTAGGGCTAACAGCAGGAGCTCACCCCGCTGCCTAGATTCAAACTGCCAACCTTTCAGTCAACAAGTTCAGCAGCTCAGTGGTTTAACTCGCTGCGCCACCTGGGGCTCCAGTACATAAAATACATAATTTCCCAATTTCCATAGGCCAGCTATATATACATTGCATTACACACTTACACTTGTGCCTATGAAGACGAACGCTTATGGCATTCATGTACACATGCAGAGTAGCTGCAGAGTAAGGAATTCCTGTACTTATCTCCCTTCACTTGGAAGGGAGAACGACCTCCAACATTTGGTGTTCTTAATGCATTCTGACCCTTGAGGTGAAGAGCTCGTTCCCTCAATATAAAGTCCCACTGGTATAGGCAGTAATGAGCTCAGCGTGATATAAAACAGCTTTATAGGTTCTGTTTTGATTATTAATAATATGATAACAATTATTAATTATTTCTGGCATTATTAATATAATATATAATATAATTATATTATATATTATATTATATATAATAAATAATATTAATTATATAATATTAATAATATTATATAATTATAAAACATAATATATAATATATAAATTATATATATAATTATATAATTATTATGTATAATATAATAACATATAAATATAATATTATATAAATATTAATTATATAATATAATAATTAATTAATTATTTCTGGCATTTGGTAATAATAAACATTGATAAAATCACGATCTGTCAACTGCAAAAGGCCACCTTACGTGGATCTGCACGTATAATTCAAGAATACATCACCCAGTCCTAGATGCTTGGGAAGTGTTCGACTTGTGATTTTTGTGATACGAAATCCAGCATATAGATCTCGTTTGCTGTGACATACTGTGTTTTTGTGTCAATAAAATAATAATAATAATAATAATAATAATAATAATAATAATAACAACAATATTTTTTTTCATGTTAAGAGCGACTTAAAAAACTGCAAGTCACATAATAATAATTTTATTTCTTACCTGTCTCTCTTCATGGCTTGAGGCAGGTTACAGCATAACTAAAACACATAAGAATCCTATAATGTGAATGCAGGATCCAAGATTTTCAAGTATTCAATTGCAGAAGAAGACTTTGTCAAGGGAAGACAGGAGAAAAACATATTCCCCATATTGATAATTTCCTGTGGCCAGTTCTGGATTTGAAGCAACTTTATAGATCTACCATTAGTTTGCTTCATTATGATTAAATTACCACTAGTTTGGCTGTTATAAATGGAAAGTTTAATAGGCATTACCAAAATTGTAATCAACTCATAATACTCTCCCTACTTGCAACTCAAAAGTTTGAGATGGTCCCAGGAAGAACGCCTGGACTTTTCCAAAAATGAATCCTAGATATTTTGAGGGTTCAACCTCTGCAAGAACTGTGCAATCAACATTGCTTTAATTTATTTATGAAGTTAAATCCATTTATTTCTTATCTTGCCACAGCTTGCAGTGAAATATGACATTCCCTTCCATGTGGATGCCTGTCTTGGAGGCTTTCTCATTGTCTTTATGGAGAAAGCAGGGTTCCCTCTAAAGCATCCTTTTGATTTCCAAGTGGAGGGTGTCACCAGTATTTCTGCAGATACCCACAAGGTGAGTCAAAGAGGATCTGCTTGGAATTCTGCACTGATTTCTGCAGTCTCTAAACTGGTTCAGACCTATTTCCTCTTAACCGTCCTTCCAAATGAACCCTACTTATCCTCATTTAGTGTAAAGGTAAAGGTTTCCCCTTGATATTTAGTAGTTGTGTCTGACTCTGGGGGGTGATGCTCATCTCCATTTCTAAGCCAAAGAGCTGGCATTATCCATAGACACCTCCAAGGTCAAGTGGCCAGCATGACTGCATGGAACGCTGTTACCTTTCTGCCGGAGTGGTACCTATTGATTTACTCATATTTGTATGTTTGGCAGAAGCTGGAAGAATTTTGTGTAGAGTATGGAAAAAATGACCCTACTTTGAATTATTCGAATACATCTACTGAATCAGTGGAAATTGTATCTTCCTTTCTCAAGTTCATATTAATTCATTGCTCGGCCCTAGTTGGAATTAGCAATTAGATTTAAGCCTTGCATAGTGTCATAACTTGCATAAGACTGCAGTAATAGGTACCGTATATTCTGACGTATAAGATTACTTTTTAACCCAAGAAAGTCTTCTCAAAAGTCCGGGGTCGTCTTATACGCGGGAGTCATCTTATACGCGGGAGTAGTCTTATACATGGGAGTTGACTTATACGATGGAGTAGCCTTATGCACGGGAGTCGTCTTATATGCGGGTGCAGTCTTATACGCCGGAAGTCATCTTATAGAGTGGGTGCTGAAACTTCCAATCCGGATTGGAGAATCTGTGGTTGCTGCATATTGTGGGGGGAGCTCAAAAATGGCAGTGGCCACGTCCCTGCCGTATGCAGCAACTGTATGAAAGCATTAAGGGCGACGCTGTACAAGTGCGGTAGAAGAAAATCCATTCATCAGGATTCGTGGACTTAATGCAGTCCCGATGGTGAGGTGAAGGGACGCTTCACCGCAAAGGTGTAAGTGAAAATTGCAGGCATCCGGGGCTCCCGGGGTATGGAAAAAAGAGATAGAGTGGCTCCAGGGCCCAGAAAAACACACCTCTTTTTCCTGTCTGGCCCGCCCTTGTATCCTATTACCGTACTTCCTCCTCTGCCTCTCAGATCTCGCTCCTGAAGACTGCAGTGACACGGTACAGGTGTGCAGGTGCGAGATCTGAGAGGCAGAGAAGGAGATACAGTAATAGGAAAATTACCATATTGAAATCAAATCTGATGCTTTTTAAATTTTTATCTGGTGTGTGTTGGAAGAGGGGTAGTCTTATACGGCAAGTATATCCCAAACTCTATATTTTAACTGGAAAAGTTGGGGGTCATCTTATACGCCCAGTTGTCTTATATGGTACCTCAACTCAGAAATTACATGTATCAAAATGAATGTTAAGAAAAGGACATAACGAAAAAGGTAGACACATTATAATGGTCCACTTAACCCACCCTATGAAATTAAGAGTTCAAAAAAGCTAAGCAAAAGCCTGAGAAATATACTCATCTTCAGAATTCAGAATATTCCGCTTTGGTGAATATATGAATCTGGGTTGTTGTAGGTTTTCCGGGCTATATGGCCATGTTCTAGAGGCATTTTCTCCTGACGTTTCACCTGTATCTATGGCAAGCATCCTCAGAGGTAGTGAGGCCTGTTGGAAGTAGGAAAATGGGTTTATATATCTGTGGAAAGACCAGATAAACCCATTTTCCTACTTCCAACAGACCTCACTACCTCTGAGGATGCTTGCCATAGATGCAGGCAAAACGTCAGGAGAAAATGCCTCTAGAACATGGCCATATAGCCCGGAAAACCTACAACAACCCAATATCAGTATCCATTTAGGTTTTAACAAGGTATCATTTATGAAATGCCCTTCATTTTGTCTTTAAAAAAGAAAATCTAAATAACTCTGTACAGCCTAGACTAGACTACAGGTTGCATATCCAAACTGTTTGGGTCCAGAAGTATTTTAGATTTGGGTTATTTTATTTTGGAATATTTGAGCACACGGCACACACACACACACACACACACACACATTAGGCTTGTGTGCAGATCTGTTTTTATTTGGTACCTTTGGTACCTTCAAGAGCATGTAACAGGAAGGGCCATCCTGGTTAAACCATCAGAAAGCAAAGGTGTCACTCTCTTAGCTACCCGTATGGACAGTGTTGCATTTTGGAGCATTTCTGATTTCTGGCTAAGGAATGTTCAGCCGGCAGGTTGTTAACTGGTGCTCCTTACAGGGAGAGGTCAACCCTCCTGTTTAAGGAGCTCCATTGGCTGCCGTTCATTTTCCGGTCCCAATTCAAGGTGCAGGTGCTTACCTACAAAGCCCAAAACCCGACTACCTGCGTGACCGCATCTCCGTATATGAACCTACACGATCTCTCCGATCATCTGGAGAGGCCCTGCTCACGATCCCACCTGCGTCGCAAGTGCGATTGGTGGGGACGAGGGACAGGGCCTTTCCGTGGTGGCCCCCCGACTCTGGAACTCTCTCCCCAAGGATATCAGACAAGCCCCAACATTGGCAGTCTTTAGGAAGAGCTTGAAGACGTGGTTATTCCAGTGTGCCTTCCCAGAATAGGAAACTCCTAGCATCATGTCCCAATTGCACTTTACTAGAGATTTAAGATTGTCTGCACACCGCACCTATCTCCAAAAACCTATCCATCTCACCTGTCGTGTTCAGCATTTTAAAATTTTAATCATTACATTTGGCCCGGCCTTAGTTTTAAATGCATCATGGGTGTTATTGTCTAATGTTTATTGGTATTGTTTTAATGTTTATTGCTTGCTTTATTTATTGTTGTATTTGTTATGCTGTTGTTTTATTGATATGTTGGGCCTCAGCCTCTTGTAAGCCGCACCGAGTCCTTCGGGAGATGTTAGCGGGGTATAAATAAAGGTATTATTATTATTATTATTATTATTATTATTATTATTATTATTGAGAAGGCTTTATAAAATGTTTACAATATTTCAGAATTTTGTTGAGACATTTAATATTACTTTCACGCTGTGGCTCCCATTAGAAGGAATTGCAACCTATCTGTAGAGTATAAACTTTGCATTGCTCTTAGCTGTGGATTTACATCAAGAGCTGTTTTGATTAACAACTTCCAATTCCCATCTCTTCTATTGCAGTATGGTTATGCTCCAAAGGGCTCTTCTGTAATACTGTACAGAGACACAAAATACCGGCACCATCAGTTTTTTATCGCTCCTGACTGGCAAGGAGGGATCTATGCCTCCCCTACCATAGCGGGTTCCAGGCCTGGTGGCCTCATTGCAGCTTGCTGGGCAACAATGATCCACATAGGAGAAGACGGTTATGTGGAGGCCACGCAGAAAATAATTTCAACAGCACGGTACCTTGAATCAGAGTACGTATAAGGCTTGAATTATTGCTCCCTTCATTTGTTTTTCCTCTTTTTGTGTGGGTTAAAGGATGGAACCAGGTGAATTAGAATACCAGGAAGTAAATAGCAGCCTCATTTCCTGTCTAGGAAAGATTTGCAGAACCTTGTGGGGGGCCATCCATTTGGCATTTCTTGATTTAGCTGCCCAGAGGGATACTCTTGCTGTTGCAGGGGGAACATTAAGAGAACTGGTGGTTCTTGTGAAGCTTTTCCTTGATTTGATATTGCTGGCAGAAGGCTGATAGCCATGAAGTGGGTGGCTTTCACCTTATTTCTCTCACAGTTAGTAGCAACTTCTATTGCACATTTGGGGGGGGGGGGGGGGCAATACCAGCTAGCTTTTAGTGTCTATCAACAGGTGTAGGTTTGAGACTTCCTGTGATTATTCTGCATGTTTCGTAAACAAGTGTCATTCCTCATCCCTGTCATTTAGGATTGAGGGTTCTTTGCCTTATGCTTTGCAATCTGCGTCGTGCTAGAGTTCCTTATAGCTCAGCGTTTCACAACCTGGGGGTCGGGACCGTGGGGGTGGGGTCATGAGGGGCTGTCAGAGGGGTCGCCAAAGACCAGCAGAAAACACAGTATTTTCTGTTGGTCACGGGGGTTCTGTGTAGGAAGTTTGGCCCAATTCTAACATGGGGTGTGTGTGTCAAAATGCTCTTTGATTGTAGGTGAACTACAAATCCCAGCAACTACAATTCCCAAATGTCATGGTCTATTTTTCCCAAACTCCAGCAGTGTTCACATTTGGGCATATTGAGTATTTGTGCCAAATTCAGTCCAAATCTATCATTGTTTGAATCCACAGTGCTCTCTGGGTGTAGGTGAATTACAACTCCAGAATTGAAGATCAATGCCCACCAAACCCTGGTGGTCATGGGAGTTCTGTGTGCCAAGTTTGATTCAATTCCATCATTGGTGGAGTTCAGAATGCTCTTTGATTGTAGGTGAACTATGAATCCCAGAAAGTACAACTCCCAAATGACAAAATCAACACCCTCCCCCCAGCCCCACCAGTATTCAAATTTGGGCATATTGGGTATTTGTGCCAAATTTGGTAGAGTAAATGAAAATACATAATGTAAATACATAATGTAAATATCTGATATACATCCTGCATATTAGATATTTACATTATGATTCATAACAGTAGCAAAATTACAGTTGTGAAGTAGCAACAAGAATAATGTTATGGTTGAGGGTCACTACCACATAAGCAACTGTATTAAAGGATCGCAGCATTAGGAAGGTTGAGAACCACTGTTATAGCTTGTCATTTTGGTCAGCTGAGCTTCCAAACATCAGACCTCCTCTTAAGAGTCTCTTAAGCTTTTGACTTTCAGGAATTTAATATAATACACTAATCATGTAGCTTTATATATTTGTATGTTAATTATGTAAAAAAATTAGCTTATATAATTGCATCCTCATCATATGGCACAAACATTTCCAGTCTAGTGGCATTGCTTTTTAAAAATATTTTTCATGTCTAGACTCATTGTTTCTATAGATGTGTCATCCTAAAATGAGCATATCTCTGCCTTACAAGGCATAGATTACATGTAGAATATTAGCATGTTACCTGTGGTACATAATCATTACTATTATTGACAGAATTTCCATTACATTAATTCCCAACCTGGGCTTTTGCAGCACGTACATAGGCTCATCCTTCCCCAATACCCCATATTAGCTATCTCTCAATTACAAAAACACAAGTTTCTCTTTTTCAAGGAAGCTGATTCCCCAAACAGTAGATGGAAGGGACTTTAACGTCATGGTCATGTAAATTTATTTCAGCTTGAAAAGATGCAAAGAAAGGCTGTAGTACCTTTGTGACCAATTGAGAGAAAGAAATTTCTAGTATAAGCTTGTGAGGAGACTAATAATATAATATATTGTATGTATATATATCTTGTAAGCCACTCTGAGTCCCCTTCAGGGTGAGAAGGGCGGCATATAAATGTCGTAAATAATAAATAAATAAATCGGATTAAATGGATTGGAATCCACAAAATGTTGTGCTGGAAATGGCATTTTTCCCAGTCCGAAAGGTGCTACAAGATTCCTTTCTATTTTACTAAGATTTTTTTTTTCAGTGTCGGGAGTGACTTGAGAAATTGCAAGTTGCTTCTGATGTGAGAGAATTTGCCGTCTGCAAGGACGTTGCCCAGGGAACGCCCAGATGTTTTACCATCCTGTGGGAGGCTTTCCTCACGTCCCCGCACGAGAAGCTGGAGTTGACAGACGGGAGCTCACCCCGCTCCTGGATTCGAACTGCTCGCCTTTCAGTCAGCAGTCCTGCCGGCACAAGGGTTTAACATTCCTTCACCTTTCATTTTTTTCAGGTTGAGGAAAATTGACAACATCTTCATTTTTGGAAACCCTGAAATATGTGTCCTTGCTTTGGGATCTGACACATTTGACATATATCAGTTATCAAACTTGTTATTAACTAAAGGATGGAACCTGAACATTCTGCAGTTCCCACCAAGGTGAGAACATTGTGACCTATGCTCTTTTGATGCACAGTATATGAACCGTATACAACGGAGGAATAAGGCCAGATGTTTCCTTAATCTAGCATGAATTTTCTGACAGGCTAAATAAGTACAGTAGACACTCTGCCATTAAAGTCAAATTGAAAATGAACTAGGAACGGCTAATACGATGGAACAGTTGAGAATTTGAACAAGAAGACATAGTTTTTATAATTTTTATTATTCACTAGCTGTACCCGCCACGCGTTGCTGTGGCCAACCTTCCCTCTTTCTTTCCTTCTTTCCCTCCTTCCTTCATTCCCTCTTTCCTTCCTGTTTTTCCTTATCTTCTTCCTTCCTTCTCTCTCTCTCTCTTTCCTTCCTTTTCCCTTTTTCTTTCTCTTCTTCTGTCTCTCTTTTTTTCCTTCTCTTTCCTTCTTTCCTTCCCTCCCTCTTTCTCTACATCTTCCCCCTTCCTTCACTCCCTTTTCCTTCCTTCTTTCCCTTTTTATTTCCTTCTCTAGCTTTTCTCCCCCCCTTTTTTCTTTACCTCTCTCTTTCTCTCCTTTCTTCCTTCTCTGCCTCATTCCTTCCTTCTTTCTCTCTTTGCTTCTATGCTTCATTCTCCCTTTCCTTCTTTCTTTCCCTCTTTCTTTTCTTTTCTTTCTTTTTTTCCTCCCCTTCCCTCCCTCTTTGTTCCTTTTTTTTCTGTATTGTCATTTAGCTTTTTGGGGCTTTTTAATTTATTTATTTATTTATTTATTTATTTATTTGCTGCATTTGTTGACCGCCGCTCTCAGCCCTAGGGCGACTCGCGGCGGTGTACAACATATAAAAACAGTTTACAATAAAGCACAACAAAAAAAATCAACGTAACAATAATACACACTAATCTAAATTACACTAAACTAATCCGCATCGTCACAACATAGAATCATAACCAATCTCATAGTCCATATTTCGTTCCAATTGTCATTGCCAGTTAATATAGCACTCAGTTAAATGCCTTCTCAAATAGCCAGGTCTTTAGGCTCTTACGGAAAGCCATAAGAGAGGGCGCCTGTCTGATGTCAACAGGGAGGGTGTTCCACAGCGGGGGGGCCACCACCGAGAAGGCCCCCCCGCTGTGGAACACCCTCCCTGTCCCTTCTGCTGTGATTTTCAGTGTTTTTATGAGTGAAGGACATACATTGGGTTCTTATGTGTATTGTGTCCAAATTTGGTGCTAATTCGTAGAGTGGTTTTTGAGTTCTGTTAATCGCACAAACGAACATTACATTTTTATTTATATAGATTGTTTTAATGGTTTTTAAATGTATTGCGATGTTTTTTGCTTTTTACCGATTTATGCATTTTTATATATGGCATCTGATTGTTACCGACTTATACGCCGCCCTGAGTCACCTTCGGGCTGATGTGGACAGGATACAAATGTCGTAAATAAATAAATAAATAAGGTTGGAGTAAATTTGAAGTAACCATGATCAGCTGACTTTGGGAACCTGGATTTTCCAAAAATTTGCCCAATTTGTTTTGAAAAGCCATCTAAGCTGGTTGTTGACCAATTCTACTCTAGTTAGTTGGGAGCTAATGCGGTGTAGTGATTTGAGTATTGAGAGACCTGGGTTTCAATTCCTTCTGGGCCATAAGAAACTCTGATTGACCTTGGGCAAACCTCAAAGGAATGCAGTGTCACCTCCCACCAAATAAATCTTGCCAACTAAATCCTATGATAGGATTGAAATGACTTTAAGGCACACAGCTCTGTCTGCACAGAATTCTGGTCAGGACTCGTATGCAGAACTATGTTTTAACTTCTTTGGATGATGCTGGTTTCTAGTATTACGTGAGAGGGAAGACAGATTCTCTCTATCCTTCCTCCCCAGGAGTGCCTTTCCCATATTTATTTATTTATTTATTTATTTCCTATATTTATACCCCGTCCTTCTCCCCCCGAAGAGGGACTCAGGGCGGCCTAACAAAAGCATCATACGATGCTAGCATGATAAAAACAATGACAGTACAATCAAAATATTAAAAATTAAAACAATTAATTAAGACACATCCATTAAAATCAAAATCCAAAACCAGTCCGGGTCAATTCATTGCCATAAGTTGTGTGATCTTCTTCCACTTGCTGCTCACTGATCAAATGCTTGGTTCCATAAACCAGGTCTTGATTTTCCTTCTAAAAGACAAGAGGGAGGTGGCCAATCCGATATCCCTAGGGGGAGGGCGTTCCATAGGGGGGGGGGGGGGTCACTGCTGAGAAGGCCCTGTCTCTCGTCCACATCTACCGTGTTTGTGGTGGGATCAAGAGCAGGGCCTCTCCTCATGATCTTAAACTTCATGATGATTCGTGGCAGGAGATACGTTCGGACAGGTAGTCTGGGCCAGAACCATTTAGGGCTTTAAAGGTTAAAACCAGCACTGTGAATTGTGCTCGGAAGCTGATCAGTAGCCAGTGGAGTTGGTGTAACAAAGGAGTTGTATGTTCCCTGTACGTCACTCCGGTGAGCAACCCGGCTGCTGACCGTTGGACTAGTTGAAGCTTCTGGGCAGTCTTCAAAGGCAGCCCCATGTAGATTGTGTTGCAGTAGTCTATGTAACAAGAACATGGAGCACCGTGGCCAAGTCAGACTTCTCAAGGAATGGGTGCAGCTGGTGCACAAGTTTTAATTGTGCAAAAGCTCTCCTGACTACCGCCGAGACCAGGGGTTCCAGGCGCAGCAATGAATCCAGGATCACTCCCAAAATGCGAACCTGTGTCTTCAGGGGGAGTGTAACCCCATCCAACACAGGCTGTAACCCTATCCCCTGTTCGGCCTTTCGACTGACCAGGAGTACCTCTGTCTTGTCTGGATTTAGTTTCAATCTGTTCGCCCTCATCCAGACTGACACAGCAGCCAAGCACCGATTCAGGACCTGCACAGCCTCCTTAGTGAAAGGTGGGAAAGAGTGATAGAGCTCAACATCATCCGCGTACAGATGACATCTGACCCCAAAACTCCGGATGATCTCTCCCAGTGGCTTCATGTAAATGTTAAACAACATGGGGGACAGTACTGATCCCTACGGGACCCCCCCCCCCCCAAGTCAATGGTTGTGAGGACGAGCAGGTATCCCCAGCAACACCTTCTGGGACCGTCCCTCAAGGAAGGACTGGAGGCACTGCAGAAGAGTACCACCAAGTCCCATGTCCCTGAGGCATCCCAAAAGGATACCATGATCGACGATATCGAAGGCCGCTGAGAAGTTTAGCAGAACCAGCAGGGACACACTCCCCTGTCTAGTCAATATCTATGACATTGTATTTTACCATTGATTAGTAGCCAGGCTTGTTCAAAGTCGAAATTGTTAATATGGGACATTTGGAAGATAGTTTTCCCTTCTCTAGATCATTGAGAGCTGATTTGGGGGCAGTTGGTTGGATCTGTTCTCCCAAGCAGTATTATCTGGACTCCAGGAAGCCCTACCAAATGTTAATCAATATGACTTCATTTGTGGTTTCATTTCAAAAGTTCAAAGCACAACAACAAAAAGGAAGATTTGATTTTAAATTGTCTCATGGACAGTTTGTAATCATAATAGAGAAGAAATGGAGCCCCTGAGTAATTTACATATATCTTTATATAGTGGTACCTTGGTAACTGCTGGTATTTGGGTTCAGGGCACTGCGGATACCAAAATCTGTGGATACCCATGTCTCATGATAGACAATGGCGTGCCATGTATAAAATGGGTAAACCAAGGGTTTTTTTGGGCGACGATGGATTTAAAAATATTTTCAAGCTGTGGATAGTTGTATCAGTGAATACAGAGGGCTATTTTGGCACCAGGTTTCCCCTGGATTGCAGAAAATGTAATAGGACTAAAGAGAACAAATGCAGATTTTTGTGAAACCACTTGTTTATGAAGAAAGGTTTAACTTTGTCTTCTCTCTGCACTTCTTCCTCAGTATTCATATTTGCTTAACGCTCCTGCACACGAAGCCTGGAGTGGCAGAACAACTCTTGAAGGATATCAGAGAATGCATCAAGGAGATCATGAAGGACCCCAAAGCCAAGACTACTGGAATGGTAAAATGGCGCTTAATTTTCAGCGGATTTTTAAAAATTGAATTTATGATAATCTGAATTAAGAGGTGTATTGAATCAGGGCAAAATAATGGAAAGTTAGTTCAGACAAACAGGTGTATTTCTGGTCAGTTCAAGGAATTGGGCTCCAGCCTACTTTGGACAAGGTTGTTCTTCCAATGAGAAATCACATGTATAATTTGGGATACTCCTAGATTCTCTTGTATAATCATCATCATCATCATCATCATATTTTTTGTCAGGTCAGGAGCGACTTGAGAAACTGCAAGTCATTTCTGGTGTGAGAGAATTGGCCGTCTGCAAGGACATTGCCCAGGGGACACCCGGATGATTTGATGTTTTCATCATCCGTGTGGAAAGCTTCTCTCATGTCCCCGTATGAGGAGCTGGAGCTGATAGAGGGAGCTCATCCGCCTCTCCCCGGATTCGAACCTGCGACCTGTTGGTCTTCAGTCCTGCCGGCATAGGGGTTTAACCCACTGCGCCAACGGGGCTCCTAATAATAATAATAATAATAATAATAATAATAATAATAATAATAATAATAATAATGGTCCCAGTGGTGATTGGCACACTGGGTGCAGTGCCTAAAGATCTTGGCCTGTACTTAAAAACAATCGACACTGACAAAATTACCATCTGTCATCTGCAAAAAGCCACCCTACTCAGATCTGCATACATTATTCACCAATACATCACACAGTCCTAGACACTTGGGAAGTGTCTGACGTGTGATCCAATACAACAGCCAGCATAGTGATCTTGTTTGCTGTGTATCAAGTATAATAATAATATAGTAAATTATTATTATTATTATTATTATTATTATTATTATTATTATTATTTCATTTCTTGCCCGCCTCTCCTCACAGCTTGAAGCTACCCAGATTAACAGGAGTGACCTTTGTGCATCTGAGTCTGGTGTGTCACATATGCCTATTTCTAGAGACAGAGAAATAGGCCATGATTATTTAAACAAGTTCTCAACATTTCTTTTACCATTCATCCCCTTTAAGTATCTTTTGTGCCATGGACTGCCAAAATTTAAAAGCCTGAAGTGCATAAAACATTTAAGAAAGAAGTACATGTTGTAGGGTTTAAAACTAATCTTAAGGAAGTTACATTTCTGGAGTTCAACAATGAATAACCCTAACTCAACTAAGTCAGAAGTTTTATTTGATTTAGAATGCAGTGCATAGAGGCATTGAATTGTTGCTGACTGGAAGCCATCCTGAGTCCCCCCCCCCCCCCAGGGGGTTGAGACAATGTGTAGGGCTGAGTTAGAACTGGTCATTTTCAAAGGCTTGTTGAAACCACCAGGTCTTCAAGCTCTTACGAAAGGAGGGGAGGGATAAGGCCTGTCTTATTTCCCTTGGAAGGGCGTTTCAGAGATGGGGGCGACCACTGAGAAGGCCCTCTCTCTCATCCCCACCAACCGTGGGGAAACGGTAGTGGGACCGAGAGGAGGGCCTCCCCGGACCGAGAGGAGGGCCTCCCCGGTAGTGGGACCGAGAGGAGGGCCTCCCCGGAAGATTAGAGGAAAAAATCTGGGTAATTAGTAGGAAGAATAAGGCCATATTCGACAACGTGTAGGGATGAGTTAAAACTGGTCATTTTCAAAGGCTTGTTGAAACCACCAGGTCTCCTATGAAAGTAGGGGAGGGATGGGGCCTGTCTTATTTCCCTTGGAAGGGCGTTCCAGAGACGGGGGCCACCACTGAGAAGGCCCACTCTCTCATCCTCACTAACCGTTCTTGAGACGATAGTGGGACCGAGAGGAGGGCTTCCCCGGAAGATCTTGGAGCTCGTGCCGGTTTATAGAAGGAGATGTCATTGCGGAGATAGGCGGGGCCCGAACCGTTTACCTACCTAATTTGATCTTCAAAACTACAAAACTTTAGGTATGCGCCTACATCCGTGATAGTGAACCTATGACATGCGTATCAGCACTGACACGCATGGCTATTTTTGATGACACGCAGACACATGCAGCTGCATACAAAGAAGTACACCTTATAAGAACCAATCTAATTCCATCCTTAAATTTGTAAAAGGCTCTACAAATTTAACATCTGCACGTTTGAGCATTGTTCACTCCATAACTCAGCATGGATTATACATTTTTCTTATTTATACTATAAATATAGCAAAATTATGGTTTTTTTTCTCGAAGTGACACCCCCACTCAAGTTATGCTCAGGTTTTTGTCAAATGTTGACACACCAAGCTCAAAAGGTTGCCCATCACTGGCCTACATTATAATATTTTTTTTCTGATTCATACAATGGGTTTTATTAAGTTTTGAAAAAAGGAAGTTATGCTGCTGCATCCTGTAGAAGGAAGTCATTTTGCATTTATTGACTCCGTGCCTGTCATTCTTGTTTGGTATTCTAGGGTGCTATCTATGGCATGGCACAAACCATCCCCGACCGAAGCATGATTTCAGAGATCGCCGGGGGTTACTTGGATTGCCTATACTGCACAGACGTTCCTTCATCGGCAGATGCACAAATGAATGGCTCTCCAGGCCACCATTGATTCTGGCATGACTATTCTTCAGTGGCTAAGTGGCATTCTAAAGATATCTAGGGAAAGTCAAACACAACTTGGAAGACGTTCTTCCCGCAAGTACAGGGCACATGGCAGCTTTGATCATCTGTTTCATAAAATCCCACTTGCTTCCTAGGATAAGCACAGACATCTTTGTAACTTTTCCTTGGCTTTGATATCTTTCTAACACTAACTCTTTGTATTCCTTTGTTCTGGTTGGTCCTCAGAAAAGTAGCTATATTTTCTAGTTAAAGCAAGTCATTCCATCACTGCTCAGGTCTTTAAAATCTGTTAATTTTACCTTAATTTTACCTACCTTTTCTGTCACCTTTGTTTTTTTGTGTTGAAGAGGGAGCTGTTGAAAAAGCCAGGATACTAGCAGCCTCCCCAGACTTTGGAATAAGAACTGAAACGGTGTAAACATTGTTCAGATTGTTATGTATGGGGATCTGCTTTGGATCCCAAAGAGATTACAGGGAGGAAGTTTCAAGGAAGGAATTGTGCTCTATTTATTTTCAGCACTCACTTGCATGCAGGAAATATTTTTCTTCTTTTCCCTGTAGTTTTTAAAATGCCACCCACAATTTTAGCCAGTTGTGTGTATCTGTGGAAAGACAAAAGTTCCGAAACAGTTCTTTTGTTTGCTTCAGGTAAAGATATTGCCCACGGACAGAAAGGCTAGGAAGCTATACTTACGATTCCTGGGTACCAGCATCCCATTTGAGAAGACCAGATATCCTATCTGGTCCACTTCAAAGCCTTATACTCGGCTGAGAGTCTGTACAGAAGTGTGGCATGGATTTTAACTCTCAAAAAATGATCTTACGTTCACATAGTAGCAAATTCTGCCTTTTAAAGATTTTCTTGCTAATACACTGACTGTGAGGTACATCCTTGAGAAAGGATGTGTCGGTTTTGCCTTAATGTTAAAGGCAATCCTTCTGGGAAACCAGGAAGGAGGCCAAAGACTCTTTCAAACAGATGACCAACTCTTTCACGGTACTACACTGAAAATAACCTCAGTGGCAAATCAGCCTCAGGTATAATACTCCCCACCCTCCGTTGTCTGAGCCAACCTAATATAACAGAGCGAAGGGGCAGGCCTCCATAATGGTTGTATGGAGGTGTGGTTTGAGTTGTAAACTATTTCCACCTTGTGGTTCAGTTTGCTTCTAGAAAATAGTTATAATTATTGTGTGAAACTTCTGGGGCAAAAGGCAAGTAACCACTAGTTTGCTCCAAGGCTTGGACAAGGGTTGGAGTAGTTTCCAGTCAGGTCTTGAGCCATTTCTGTATATCACTAGGTGTCCGAAGCGTTTTATCATCTATTTCTGATATTTTAGAGGAAATTTAGTGATGAATTTACAGCCATAGACTTCTGAAATGCTTCCTCTCCTCATCTCAAGCCAGTATTTACACTTGATGGCTTGATGTGTTGAGATTAGATTCACCATTTCCATTGTGAATTTTGGGAATAAGGGTCAATCCCTTGTGGCCATCTTTTCTCTTAATTCTGAATGGAGGGAGCACAAATTGACTTGAATACTGTTCCTTGAGACATATGTCTATTGTATATTTCAATCAATGCAAAGGTACGGTTTCCATAGCACTGTTTTATAGTATTTAAGAAAGGGAAACATTTGACTGTCATGTCCTAACCATATACTCACCTAGACGGATCTGATAATCTTATTTTTCATTCAAGTTGTAGAGTGGAACAAAGCTCTTTTCGGTTTCTGCAAGATCTGAAGCTTTGCACTTCAAGTCAATCTCTGTTTGCATACTGTTGTACAGAAACTTCAGTAGGACTGTTGTGAATGCATAGCCCTGTTTACTTCATCATAGAGAAGGTTTCAGGTTTTAAATAAAAAAGGGCAAAATGTTTCATGTTAAATGTTGAATAATTTCTATGCAAAATTAAAATCTGAAATATACATTTACTCTTCTTAGTGGTGTTTGCTTATTAATAGCTGAAAATATTTCGTATTTACTTGGTCATTGTGGCCTTGCTGTGAGGTATTATCTGATCTTTTGTAGTTTGTGAATTTTCACAACCTTGACTTGGTTTTAGTTTAACTATATCCAGAGAGCACTGTGGACTCAAACAATGATGGATCTGGACCAAACTCAGCACAAATACTCAATATGCCCAAATGTGAACACTGGTGGAGTTTGGGGAAATAGAATCTTGACATCTGGGATTTATAGTTCACCTACAATCACAGAGCATTCTGAAACCCACCAATGATAGAACTGAACCAAACTTGGCACACATGACCAACAGAAAATATTGGAAAGATTTTGTGGGCAGTGTCCTTTGGTTTTGGAGTTGTAGTTCACCTACATCCAGAGATCACTGTAGACTCAAACAATGATGGATCTGGACCAAACTCTACACAAATACTCAATATGCCCAAATGTGAACACTGGCGGAGTTTGGGGAAAATAGAATCTTGACTTCTGGGAGTAGTAGTTGCTGGGATTCATAGTTCACCTACAATCACAGAGCATTCTGAACCCCACCAACGATACAACTGGGCCAAACCTCCCACACAGAACCCCCATGTGGACCACAGCAACGAGTGGCAGGGGATGGCTAGTCTATATAAATAAAAATGTAATGTTCGTTTGTGGGACTAGCATAACTAAAAAAACCACTGGACGAATTGACACCAAACTTAGACACAATACACCTATCAGGCCAACAAGTGACCATCACTCATCAAAACACTGAAAAGCATAGCACAAGAGACATAAAAAGCCAAAAAAAAACATTACAGCGCATGTGCAAAACCACACATATATACGCAAACACACATATACACAAATATATACACACATATATACACACACAAAACATATATACATAGACTGGGCCACAGCAACGCGTGGAAGGGAATGGCTAGTATAAATAAAAAATGTAATGTTCGTTTGTGGGATTAGCATAATTCAAAAACCACTGCATGAATTGACATCACATTTGGACACAATACACATATCAACCCAACAAGTGACGATCACTCATAAAAACACAGCAGAAGAGACTTCAAAAGCCAAACACGTGCAAAACCACACATATATACGCAAACACACATATACACAAATATATACACACATATACACACACAAAACACATATACACAGACTGGTCACAGCAACATGTGGCAGGGGATGGCTAGTACTATTATAAAAGGTAAAGGTAAAAGTTTCCCCTTGACATTAAGTCTAGATGTGTCCGACTTGGAGGGGTGGTGCTCATCTCCATTTCTGAGCCGAAGAGCCAGCGTTGTCCATAGACACCTCCATGTGGCCGGCATGACTACATGGAGTGCCATTTCCTTTCCACAGAAGTGGTACCTATTGATCTACTCAGGTTTGCATGTTTTCGAACTGCTAAGATGGCAGAAGCTGGGCCTAACAGTGGGAGCTCACCCCACTCCCTAGATTCAAACCGCCAACCTTTCGGTCAGCAAGTTCATCAGCTCAGCAGTTTAACCCACAGCACCACCTATAATACTATTATATTCCATTTCAGTTAGACTAGAATTCGAGCTGGTGGTCTAGACTACCAGAGCTTCACATTTTTATTACAACTGTCGGAATCCCCTAATTCACATGGCCATGGTGTGTTCAGGACTCTGAGAACTATGGTATGAAGCTATATTTTCCAAGCTTTTCTCTTGTGGCACACTTTAAAAAATGTCTTGTGCTCAGCCCAGCTGCCTAGAGTTGGACAGAAAGTAGATTGGATACCTCTGATAGATCTCCAAGATTATTAACTTTATATTGTTTACTAATAGCAAAAATATTTTTATACCTAAGCTAGATTTACCAAATGAAAAAAGTTTGGAGGAATAGACTTACATATAAAAGGATGTGGATTCATTTCTTATATTGAAATTACAATTTGATGTCTCGAATGTGTTCAGAAGCCATTCTTTCATTGTAAGTGCATCCAACCCCTCTCCGATGCCAGTGATACAGCTTAATGGTGTAACATTAGAAAATGTTGATCATTTCCGCTACCTTGGCAGCCACCTCTCCACCAAAGTCAACATCGACACCGAAATACAACACCGCCTGAGCTCTGCGAGTGCAGCATTTTTCCGAATGAAGCAAAAAGTGTTTGAGGACCGGGACATCCGTAGGGATACAAAGGTGCTTGTTTATAGAGCTATTGTCCTCCCAACCCTGCTATATGCCTGTGAGACGTGGACTGTCTACAGACGTCACATGCAACTAATCGGCGCTTCCTCCAGAAAATCCTGCAAATCTCTTGGGAAGACAAGCAGACAAACGTCAGCGTGCTGGAAGAAGCAAAGACCACCAGCATTGAAGCAATGGTCCTCCGCCATCAACTCCACTGGACCGGCCATGTTGTCCGGATGCCCGACCACTGCCTCCCAAAGCAGTTGCTCTACTCCGAACTCAAGAACGGAAAACGGAATGTTAGTGGGCAGGAAAAGAGATTTAAAGATGGGCTCAAAGCCAACCTTAAAAACTGCGGCATAGACACTGGGAAGCCCTGGCCCTTGAGCGCTCCAGCTGGAGGTCAGCTGTGATCAGCAGTGCTGCAGAATTTGAAGAGGCACGAATGGAGGGCGAAAGGGAGAAGCGTGCCAAGAGGAAGGCGCGTCAAGCCAACCTCAACCGAGACAGCCTTCCACCTGGAAACCAATGCCCTCACTGCGGAAGAAGATGCAGAGCAAGAATAGGGCTCCACAGCGACATACGGACCTACAAGAATACTGGAAAAGAATCCTCTTCAGAAAACGAGGGATCGCCTAAGTAAGTAAGTAAGCATCCAAGTATTGTATTCAAAGTTCAGAAAAACAAAACAAAACGAGTTGACAAACTCAAAGTGTCTTGTAACAGCAGTATTCTGCTTTATGGTGGTTGATAGCTAAAATATTAAAAACCCAATAACAAAACCAACGAACAGTATTTATAAACCACTTTCCTTTATATTACACAAATCATCTTTATTATAACTAACTCCAGCATGGATTGGCCTCTCACTGTAATACTGCATGGACAGAGACTTGCAAGAATACTAATACTGAACATTGCAAAGCTATAACTTCCTAGAAGAGCGTTGAAGACAAGGTAATGAAGTTGCAGAACACTGGTTTCCCACACTGGCACGTGGAATCCTCATACGATACATTAAGACGTCAGATGTACTTAAAAATGGGTTTTCTGAATATGATGTGATCAGTATTATATGCTGTCTTTGGTTGGAACAATGCACTTCTCCACTTGGACACTCACTGCTTTTGCTGCCTGAAAATGCTTATGGGTGGCATCTAGGCCAATGTGTTTGCAACTTGTTCTATGAAACTGGCCAAGTTGATGTCCCGCTCAGATAAGCCTCCACATTCATGTGTGCTTAAGGTTATGTGAACCTGAAATAAAAAAGTATCATAATTAGTGCAGGTTTCATAACTTAACATTTTTGTATAAATTCAGTATGCGGTCATGGCTGCAGATACTAGGCACGTCCCATCGATAAAAAAAAATAGTTCAACAGTCATTACAAAACTGGGGAATTCTGGCACTTCGTTTCTTGTGAAAAATTTGTTACTGTAACGAATTTCATTACAGTAATTGCATATGTGCATAATTAAATTACTATAACTGGCAATAATCGTGCCAATCTGTAACCTGCCTTAAGTTGAATTGGTTGAGAAAGGTGGGCTATAAATGTTGTAAATAAATAAATCTATATAAATAAAAATGTAATATTCGTTTGTGGGATTTATTTATCAAAAATCACTGGATGAATTGACACCAAATTTGGACACAAGACACCTATCAGGCCAACGAGTGACCATCACTCATAAAAACACTGAAATACACAGCAGAAGAGACTTAAAAAACCAAAAAACCTAAAAAATACTTTACAAGGCATGCGCAAAACCATATATTTATTTATTTGTTATTTATAGCATTTCTACCCCGCCCATATCAGCCCAAAGGTGACTCAGGGCAGCGAACAATCGGCACAATTCAATGCCACATATAAAATACATACATCAATAAAAATAAAACATCACATTACACCATATCTAAACAACACGTAAACACAATCCAGAGTATCTGTCTTAATGGTTTGAAGAATGGTTCAGCCTGAACCTACAAAATATCTGCATGCTTTGTTTTAAACAATGCAGCTCTGATCTTACATTACAAAAACACAAAAGAGTCCTGGCAAAGAAGCAGACCCTTTTATTAATCAGTCAAGGGACTAATTAGAGTCTGAGTGACTAATCAACAAAAATACAGTTTATGGCCCATCAAATAATCCCATGTTGTTAACAAACAGACAAATGAAACTGCCACAAAAGGCTAGCACTGGCTAATAAGACTTAAAGTGGGCTTTCCAGAGCTGGAATATTGAGTATGGATTGTCACACTCCATATTATTAAATGCTCCAACATGGCCGTGTTCATGTCACCTTCATTTAATAATATGGGGCATGATCATCCATGGGTTTTTTTTAATATCCATGTGTGGTTCTAGAAACAATCCCCCTGCAAACTTGGTGTAACAAATTACTTAATTTATAGGAGATTTTTTAAAAAAGGTTTTATTGAGTGATATATAGTGCAATCAGGTTAGTTTGAAATGTAGCTGTTTGTTTAGCTGATGCGTTGCCATAGTGACGTAGGCCTCCAGGCAGAAGCAAAAGGGGCAGCGCTAACTGCCACTGGTGGAGAGAGCACAGTTGAGAAAGAGAGTCTTTGGTGAGCTAGCCAAAGAGGAAAGTTGGTTCTGGTGTGTTGAGAAACCAAACCAGGGGATTTAAGTCTTTGAGAGGCAGTCAAAGGGAAAAGATGGCTCTGGGTAGTGTAAACCGAGCCAAGTGTTTAGCCTTCAGCCTGCCTAGTTTAAAGGGTTAAGTGGACCTATTTGAAGTAATAAGAGTGGGAATTTGGGATTTAATGTCAGTCAGAAAGACTGAGGTGAAAATTGCTCTTCAATGAGTAAATATTCAGTTGAATTATAAGTAAAGTGAAGAAACCATAAGATTAAAGTGACTTAGTCAAGGGACTGAGGAAAGAAACTAAGTTTTACAGAAAGGAAAAAACAAATATTAATGTGGTGGAAGATAAGCCACTCTTAAAGTTTAATAGTAACATTTTCATGTTTTCAGAAGAATGAAGAGTTAACTGTAACAAGAAGAAGGTATTGTGTAACCGTCCAGCTTGTGTGAACTTGAGTATTCTTTAAATAAACATTTTTCTGTTCAGTTCAAGTACTAGGACTTGTGTCTAATTATTAAAGAGAAGATTCTCCACAAAAGAAAAGTCTGAAGATCCTGTGGAGCTGAATACAATTGTGTGCTATTGACCTACACATATTGTTGTTGTTCATTCGTTCAGTCGTCTCCGACTCTTCGTGACCTCATGGACCAGCCCACGCCAGAGCTCCCTGTCGGCCGTTACCACCCCCAGCTCCCTCAAGGTCAGTCCAGTCACTTCAAGGATGCCATCCATCCATCTTGCCCTTGGTCGGCCCCTCTTCCTTTTGCCTTCCACTTTCCCCAGCATAATTGTCTTCTCTAGGCTTTCCTGTCTCCTCATGATGTGGCCAAAGTACTTCAACTTTGTCTCTAGTATCTTTCCCTCCAATGAGCAGTCGGGCTTTATTTCCTGGAGGATGGACTGGTTGGATCTTCTCGCAGTCCAAGGCACTCTCAGCACTTTCCTCCAACACCACAGTTCAAAAGCATCTACACATATTAAAGAGGCACAAACAGGTCTCTAACCAAGCCAAGCCTCTAACCAAGTTTCTCTCATAATAATTTCAATTCTTTCTCAAACACATATAGATATAAAAGTACTCAGCCGCACCACGCTACTCATCCAATCTCCTCATAGCCCTGCTATACATTTGTTCATACATGTTTATTGGTGGCAGTGGTGGGATAATAAAATAAAGATCCCCCTGCCTGAAGATTGCTGTCTTTATTTCCTGGGTTGTCCGCTTTATATATAGTTGCAGCAGCGCTACATATTAATTGAGGTGTTTGCCTCTCACATGCCAAGCCCACTCATGATATATGAGAGTTAGTGTAAAATGCATGGCTACATATCCTTTTTTTATATTCTACTCCTCGCTCACTGCACTTATGCTCTTCAACTTACAGTTGTCCATTATGAGTGCTCGGCTGCGCTGGAGCAGGATCACAGAGCTAGGTATTTAATTTGAACACAAAGCTTAACTCCATGCTTGGCTTAGTTTAAATAGTGGGGGAGAAGTGCCTCTCCAGTTGTTGGTAAACTGCAGTTCCCATTAGACTTAGCTAGCACTGCCACCAGTGAAGAAGGATTATGAGAGGTGCATCCCATTAACATTCAGAGTACCCAACATTTCCCATCTTGGGCTTTATTCAACACATTTTGAGCCACCTCTTTCCTTACCTTGTTGTAGACATTAAACCATTCAGGATGGTGGTCCAGTTTTTCTGCCTGTAGAGCTACTCTGGTCATGAAGCCAAAGGCCTGATCATGAAATATAAGAGAGATTTTAGGAAAACATACAACAGTAATCTGAAAAGAAGACATTTTTTACAGCCATGCACCCCATCTGATGACAAATCTCTTCTGATCACACAATGTGGTGCCTTAGTTCCGACTGTGCCTTATCATACAACATTGTTACTTTCCCAGCATTTTTCTGGTTCAGAGTCATTGAAAGTATTTTTTCCTCTCCATACTGGAAATAATCCATTGATGATCCTCTTTTCCCCAAAAACAATTCAGTAAGCTGATAATACAAGGGAACAATTTCTCAGCTTCAGGTGTAAAAGTAATGGTGAAATCACACCAACAAATGACCAAGAAATATTGTGGATGAATGTAAAGATCCCTTACCTTGCCATCCAGGGTGGCAGGGCCCCAGGAGAAAGTCAGGCTAGGTAGTTTAGCTTGGAAGGCCTGGCAGAGTGCTGCTGGAGCCATTTTAGAGTAGGGAAAAGCTCCAGGGCAGAAGGGGGAGTGGCTGAGGCCTGTGCCAGCCCAGCAACAGCTAGGATTGGTTTAGAGAATAGGGGCGGAGTTAGGCAGAAGGAGGGAAAGAGAACAGTGAGATTTGACAGTTTTAGGGTAGTGCAGCTGAGTTTCTGAGAAGAGTAGAGAGCAGTCTGAGTTCTGAGAGAGAGATTAGTGTAGAAGTTGGAGTGTTGAGGAGTCTCTGTTTAAAATAGGCAGTTTGCCTTTAGTCTGCACAGACCAGTAGGCTGTGGCAGACTGAGATTACAGCTATTTTTGAGAAAAATAGCTGGGTTCTGTGTTTATTGAAACTGTAACTAAGAAAGAACATTCTCTCTAGAAACCAATACGCTTATAAGAAACAAGAACACTTTTATTCTGTAACCATCAAGCCTCAGTACCTGCATTCTCGTGTTATTCAGTAATTGTAATCAATAAACTCTTTCTTATTATTTTTAAACTTAAAGCCTGAGTCAAGTGCTATTTTTGGTTTTGAGTCCCTTTCTTTTTAAATCAACCTCTCCTGTTTTCCCCTCAGAGAAAGCCCTTGGTTATATACAGCAATTGGTGGAGTAAAGCCTTGTGGTAATACTAAACAGCCCATTAACAGACTAATAGCTAGAGGGTTCGTGATTTCTTTAGTTTGGTGGCAGCGAAAGTTTTACACAACGTGACATCCCCTCAAACCCTACAAAAGCCTCTTTTGAGTTATTATAATTGGTAGTGTCAGAGGTGGGATATTGATTTATCACCCATACCTCTAAAGATCCTTTATAATTGGTGGGGCAGCGGTGGGATTGTTTGGCCCTGCCCAGACGGCCAATTAAAGGAAGTTCCTTGATAATGAACAATTAGAAAATGTATTACAATGATTGTATGCGATGGATGAAAATAGAATAAATAAAAGTAATAGAACTGACAGAGCTGTATTTTTATAATGAAATTTGAATTGGGGGTGGGGAGCATGTATAGATCTGGGAATAGATGGTATAACAAGGCAATTGTAATATATTAAATGTTTTAAAATAAGTAAAGTTTAGTGTCTAGCTCAAGGAAAGTCATGGTGCCTCTATATTCTGCTTTGGATAGAATACTTTGTCCAATTCTGGACACCACAGTTTAAAAGAGATATGGACAAGTTGGAAGGTGCCCAGAGGAGGACACTAAAATTATCAAAGGTCTGGAGACCATGAATCCCTATGACAGTGGTTCTCAACCTGGGCCCCCAGATGTTTTGGCCTTCAACTCCCAGAAATCCTAACAGCTGGTAAACTGGCTGGGATTTCTGGGAGTTGTAGGCCAAAACACCAGAGGTTGAGAATCACTGCCCTATGAGGAACGTCTTAAAGATCTGGGTATGTTTAACCTGCAGAAGGGAAGGTTGACAGGAGATACAACAGCCATGTATAAATATGTGCAATGATACTATAAAGAAGAGGGAGCAGGCTTGTTTTCTGCTGCCCTGGAGACTAGGACCCAGAGCAATGGGTTCAATTTACAGGGAAGGAGATTCTACCTTCAGAAGAACTTCCTGACTATAAGAGCTGTTCAGCAGTGGAACTCTGCCTTGGAGTGTGATGGAAGCTCCTTCTTTGGGGGCTTTTAAACAGAGAATGGATGGTCATCTCTCAGAGGTACTTTGATTATGCTTTTCCTGCATGGCAGGGGGTTGGACTAGATGGCCCACATGGTATCTTTCAACTCTATTATTCTATGATAGTGTAAACCACTACAAACCGTCCCGTAATCTGTATACAAAATATATCTGATGAAGCAGACTTAAAGTCTGTGAAAGCTTATCCTATCAATGTCTTTCTCCCCTTTAGTCCCAGAGGTGCTACCAGATCCCTTTGGTATATACATTACAGTTAGTCATAAATTCACAAATTCAATTTGGTATTTCTTCACAAACATTTGGTTTTCAGTAATGTTTGTGAAGAAACACCAAACAGAATGGGCTTACTGTACACCAGGGTGGGCAATTTGGAGCTTAGATGGGGTGGACTACAATTCCCATCTCCCGCCATCCATTATGCTGGCTAGGCCAGATGAAAATCGCATTCAAGAGGGCAGCATGTTTCCCATGCTTGCTATAGCCCAAAACATATTCAGACAGTATGATGAGTTCAAGATTTTCATATAATGTTGGCTCTGGAAAGGTATTCCACTGCTGACATTCAGAGATACACCAGTTCTGCTACAGGACAATGAAGCACACCTTCCAATCATGTCCCAAATGCTGCCTCTCAAACAGCAGCTTCTGTTCAATATCCTGTGATCAGAATCACTGAATTTCTCTGTTTCAGATGGTCATAATCTTGACTGTGGCCAAGTATCTCCTTCTGCCAATATAGATGCACCACGACCAAGATGATTAAACTGAGACTATGTATTGTCGAAGGCTTTCATGGCCAGAATTACTGGGTTGTTGTACTGTAGGCTTTTCGGGCTGTATGGCCATGTTCTAGAACAGTGGTTCTCAACCTTCTTCATGCCGTGACCCCTTAATACAGTTCCTCATGTTGTGGTGACCCCCCACCATAACATTATTTTTGAAATGCAAATATCCGATTTGCTAAATGTATTTTCATTCACCGGACCAAATTTGGCACAAGTACCCGATGCGCCCAAATTTGAATACTGGTGGGGTTGGGGTGGGATTGATTTTGTCATTTGGGCACTCAGGGAGCATACAACCCCCTTGTTGTGCCAGCTCCACTGGCTGCCAGTTTGCTACCGGGCCTTATTCAAAGTGCTGGCTTTGGCCTATAAAGCAAACAAACAATAAATAAATAAAGTAGAACAAAACCAATCTCATCTACAAGAAATTGATAAGAAATGTAAAGAACTTTACTCACAAATTAAGGAATTTAAAATCAAAAAGTTTAATAGAGACAGAGCTGATTATGACAATAATAGGGTCTACAATTGGAAAACCCGTTCTACTTCCTCTAGTACAGGGAAAAGGAGGGTTCGCTTTGAAACAGATTCTCTTGACCCTTATTCCACCACTGAAGAAGACCCAGGGAAGTCTACGGATAGTTCCACTACTTCCACTAGTCCAATACTACCACGACGATCATATAGAATTAAATCTAAACCACCCACTCACCATTTTCAGAGGGGTTCATACAGAAAAGCTCCTCCCTAGTGGTAAATCTTTCTAACTACCCTCTCTCATCACAAGAGGAAGAGTTAATTAATAAGGGACTAAGTTTTGTTCCCACTCCCAGATACAGTCCTTTCCACACCAGGGTTGAACTATTTAAGTTATTTAGAACTATTAGATTAAAACACTTTTTTGGTAATAAGACGGATTCCAAACCTGAAACTGTGTTCAAACCTAAAAACAAATTCTACCCCAACACTGATAATATGATGATAAAAACATTTGAAAAAGTTGTGGAACGGGACATTAGCAGACTATCCAAATCCAGGTCCAAAACCTTTCCGAATATGTCTATGACTGAATTGAATACCATTAAAAGACTAGCAAACATGCCACAATATATTTGGAAACCAGCTGATAAGGGAGGGGCGGTGGTATTGCTGAATAGAATTGACTATGTTAAGGAAGTAGAAAGACATCTCTCTAACAACATGTTCTATAAATGTATTCCTAAGGATCCCATTAATAAAATTAGATCCCTTATACGTACAGTATGTGCTGAAGGTCTCTCACTGGGATATATTTCATTACAGACATATGAGTTCCTTCAGAATCCATACCCCAGAACACCGGTATTTTATATTCTCCCGAAGATTCACAAAAGAACCTTTCCTCCACCAGGTAGACCTATCGTTTCAGGCACTGCATCTATTTTGGAACCTTTAGCTCAGTTTATTGACCATTTTTTGCAACCTTTTGTACCATTAAATACATCATTTATCAAAGACACCAAACATTTCATCAATATAATAGAAGCCCTAACTATACCTGAGCAAGCCATACTCATGACCTTAGATATTGAAGCCCTATATACAAACATACCTTTAGATGAGGCCAGAGCAGTAGTTAAAGATATACTTGACACACGCAAATCTCCAGCTCCTCCCACTCACTTCCTCATGGATTTGCTAGACATTGTGCTAGAATACAACTATTTTAGTTTTGATAAACAATTTTATTTACAAACATTCGGAATCGCTATGGGTAGCCCACTTGCACCCGCTATAGCCAATTTATTCGTTGCATACTTAGAAAATAAATTCATCTTTAATACCACTAAGAATCCATTTTCTTCAGATATCCTTTATTTTGGAAGGTATCTAGATGATATATTTACAGTAGTGAGATCACAGTCAGTAGCTGACCTATTCTACAGCTGGATTAATACACTACATAAACACATGAAATTTACACACCACTGTAGCCCTACTAATGTTAACTTTTTGGACGTCATGGTTTTCAAAAATGGTCAGAAACTATTAGTGAAAAATTATAGTAAACCTACAGATAAGAATTCTTTTTTACATTTTTCCAGCTTTCATCACTTTTCTCTTAAATCCAATTTACCATTTTCTCAGTTTTTAAGACTGAAACGTAATTCTAGCACACAAAAGGACTTTGAATCTACGGCAGGTATCCTGAAAAAACAACTCAGAGAGAGAGGATACCCTAATAGGATACTCAACACAGCCATGAGCAAGGCAAACTCCATCAACAGAGGTGAATTACTACAGGAACGCCCTAGAAAACATAACAACCGCATAATATGGCCTTTGACACTGACACAATATTCATCCAAGATCACTAAGATTATTTCAAAACACTGGCATTTACTACAGGACATTCCTGGATGCAAAGACAAACCTATAATTGCCCATAAAAGATCCAGAAATTTAAGGGACCTTATGATCCACTCTGAATATAACACTCCTAATACATCCCATGAACCTACCACTAGGGGTCACACTAGCTGTGGACACTGTAACTGCTGCCAGCAATCACTTAAGAGTAAAATATACTCTCATCCAACACTCAATATTAATGTCACATTACGACATTTGACAACATGTTCCAGTGATAATGTAGTGTACCTGTTAGAATGCCCCTGCAAATTACTATATGTTGGAATAACTACTAGACCCCTTAAAATTAGGATAAATGAACATCGTTCACGCATAAGGAATGGGTCCACTGACTCTTCACTATATGTACATTTTAATGAAAAAGCACATACACACCATAGCTTTAAATTTTGCGCTTTGGAAAAAATATTACCCAGACCTAATGCAGATACAAAAAAACTCCTTCTGCAAAGGGAATCTTTTTGGATCTTCAAACTACAAACACTGGTTCCTCTAGGACTAAATGATAAAATTGAATACACTTGTTTCTTGTGAGATGTAATTCTACTTAAGAGACAGCCCAGCTATGACTCACTGCTCGTTACAGAACTCCTACTACTACAGAGCCTGTAGTACAGAACCTGTATTACTGAAGAGAATGTAAGTAGAGTAACGTGTATCTTTACTGTTATTACAAAATGTTTTTCTAATCAATGTTATTTTGGGGAGTTTCATGTATCTATGTTGTATGTTATTTCTACTCCTTATTTAGTGCACTAAGCATAATAAGATACAGACTACACCCTGAGGAAGATATTGTTCGAAACAAGGATAAACATACCGGAAGACCTTGTTGAGATTTTGTTGCCTATGAAAGACCTTGTTGCCCAAGAAGAATTCCTTGAGACTGTCTTATCAAAAGAAGAATTTTTTTTTGAAGATAAAGATAGAGACTCTGGAATTTCTTCACTGAAAGGATGGACTCTATTACCTTTAGTCTGTTGTTGATTTCTCTATGTTAATGTGCTGATAACATATTTATTTAATGCTATAAAGTCTCAGACAAGTTATGCCAATAGAGAACATAGAATACTGTTGTATATTACTGTCTTGAGAGTCTGCTAAGATTTACATACATACATTTTTGTTCTTTGGCCTATAAAGCCCTAAACGGTTCTGACCCAACTTACCTGTTCGAACGTATCTCCCTTTACAAACCACTGAGGACTTTAAGATCATCTGGGGAGGCCCTGCTCTCGGTCCTGCCTTTGTCACAAGCACGTTTGGCGGGGACGAGACACAGGGCCTTCTCAGTGGTGGCCCCTCAGCTATGGAACGCCCTCCCTAGGGAGATCAGATCTGCTCCCTCTCTCTTGACATTTCGGAGGCAAGTTAAAATGTGGCTATTCGAGCAAGCGTTTACAAATACAGAGTAGCTAATATAGGAAATCGAATGACCTGACAATGGAACTGGACAATACTTGAGAATAATGAGACGCTGATGATGTTGTTTTTATTGCTTTTGTGATGTATTATACTGTTTAATGTTTTTTTTATCTATATTATGTTTTATGTATACTGATTTGTTGGAAACCGCCTTGAGTTGCCAATTGGCTGAAAAAGGCTGTATACAAATTCAGTAAATAAATAATAAATAAATAATTCACTTAGAGTCAAAGAGCATCTTGAACCCACCCAACCAACAATAGAATTGGGCCAAACTTCCCACACAGAACCCCCAACAGAAAATACTGTGTTTTCCGATAGTCTTTGGCAACCCCTCTGACGCCCCCTGGTGACTGCCCAGGGGTCCCAACCCCCAGGTTGAGAAATGCTATTCTAGAAGCATTCTCTCCTGACGTTTCGCCTGCATCTATGGCAGGCATCCTCAGAAGTTGTTTGGTCTGAGGATGCCTGCCATTTATGCAGGCAAAACGTCAAGAGAGAATGCTTCTAGAACACGGCCATGTTGTTGTTGTTCATTCGTTCAGTCGTCTCCGACTCTTCGTGACCTCACGGACCAGCCCATGATAGAGCTCCCTGTCGGCCGTTACCACCCCCAGCTCCCTCAAGGTCAGTCCAGTCACTTCAAGGATGCCATCCATCCATCTTGCCCTTGGTCGGCCCCTCTTCCTTTTGCCTTCCACTTTCCCCAGCATAATTGTCTTCTCTAGGCTTTGCTGTCTCCTCATGATGTGGCCAAAGTACTTCAACTTTGTCTCTAGTATCTTTCCCTCCAGTGAGCAGTCGGGCTTTATTTCCTGGAGGATGGACTGGTTGGGTCGGCCATACAGCCCACTAAACGGAGACTGTTGTACTTTGGTCATATTATGAAAAGACTTACTAGAAAAGACAATAACACTTGGTAAGTTAAAAGGCAGTAGAAAAAGAGGAAGAATGCAACCTGATTGATGGGACTCAATCAAGGAAGCCACAATCCTGTATTTGCAAAGCCTAAGCAGGGGTATTGGGAATAGAGTGACTTGGATGTCTCTCATTTATGGGGTTGCGATAAGTCAAATGACTTGATGGAAGTTGACAACCACCACCACCAAAAGTCTCAAACTGATGAACAGGGAATGGTATTTTGTGTGGTCCAAGTGCCACCTGCCTTGGCTTTGTTGGACTGAAAATGAAGACAGATAATAAGACTTATGGAGTAGTTTTTGTACCCGATTGAAGTCCTTGAAATGGAACTCCTTGCAAATGGCATCTCTACCCTCCACCTCATTCCATCCGACCGCTCGGAGAGTTGGCAGCAACTGTTCCCTCTCTTCACCACTTAGTCTGTGGGCTTTTCCTGCCTACGAAAAGAGAGAAAGTAAAGCCAGCAACATTCACAACAGTTCTGAGGTTAAATCTTCATTTCTCCAGCTTCAAAGAATGTACACTTTCCACATGGATCAGGAGGAGCATCTCCAGTATTGTAGTTGAAGTCACACTTGCATGTACATTAGGTAATGACAAAGAGCATCCACAGACAGAAGTAATCTATATAAATAAAAATGTAATGTTTTTGGGATTAACAGAACTCAAAAACCACTGGACGAATTGACACCAAATTTGGACACAAGACACCTAACAACCCAATGTATGTCCTTCACTAAAAAAAAATGATCATGTCATTTGGGAGTTGTAGTTGCTGGGATTTATAGTTCACATACAATAAAAGAGCATTCTGAACCCCACCAACGATGGAATTGAACCAAACTTGGCACACAGTTCTCCCATGACTAACAGAAAATACTGAAAGGGTTTGGTGGACTGGTTTCTGAACCCCACCAACGATAGAATTGGGCCAAACCTCCCACACAGAACCCCCATGTGGGCCACAGTAACACGTGGCAGGGGACGGCTAGTCTATATAAATAAAAATGTAATGCTCGTTTGTGGGATTAATATAACTCAAAAACCACTGGGCCAATTGACACCAAATTTGGACACAAGACACCTATCAGGCCAACAAGTGACCAGCAGAATGGACTTTAACCCCCCCCCCCCCCCAAATAAACTATACATACATACATACATACATACTCACATGCACACATACACACACACACGAATACGCAAGCACACACAAATATACACACACACATACATATAACACAAATACATACAGTATGCACACACATACATATACACCTACACACATATACATACACACATACATACACACATATATGCATATACACAAGCACACACATATACACAATATGCATATATAGATATAAACACAAATATACAAATATAGACACACGTATGCACACATAAATACACATATATACACACACTCATATATACACATATACATAAATATATACACACAAAACACATATACGCAGACTGGGCCATAGCAATATTTTTACCTTGCTGTTTTTAATTATCTATATAAATAAAAATGTAATCTTCGTTTGTGATATTCACAGAACTCAAAAACCCCTGGACGAATTGACCAATTTTGACACAAGACATCTGACAACCCAATGTATGTCCTTCGCTAAAAAAAACTGATCTTGTCATTTGGGAGTTGTAGTTGCTGGGATTTATAGTTCACCTACAATCAAAGAACATTCTGAACCCCACCAATGATGGAATTGAACCAAACTTGGCACGCAGTTCTCCCATGACCAACAGAAAATACTGGAAGGGTTTGGTGGGCAGTGTCCTTTGGTTTTGGAGTTGTAGTTCACCAGAGATCACTGTGGACTCAAACAATGATGGATCTGGACCAAACTCCACACGAATACTTAATATGCCCAAATGTGAACATTGGTAGAGTTTGGGGAAAATAGACCTGGACCTTTGGGAGTTGTAGTTGCTGGGATTTATAATTCACCTACAATTAAAGTGTAGGAGCAGTTAGGAGATTTAAGGAATTGCACTTTAAGGGTCATCTAAGGTTAAAGGGTGAATGGTGGAATACGTTATATAATCGAACAGATGTTGGGTTTCACAAAGTGTCTGCCAAGACCTGATAAAGATTTTGGGGAAGATTTTGGGGAGTTTGGGGAAAATAGAATCTTGACATTTGGGAGTTGTAGTTGCTGGGATTTATAGTTCACCTACAATCACAGAGCATTCTGAACCCCACCAACGATAGAATTGGGCCAAACCTCCCACACAGAACCCCCATGTGGGCCACAGCAACACGTGGCTGGGGACAGCTAGTCTTCAATAAAAAGGATTGTTTTCCTACTCAATGTATGACGTTTTAAAGTCAGAGGGTTATTCCTGTTCTGGAGTGCAACAGATACAGAGCTGGCATTTCTTGTCTTTGCAGAAATGATTAGGGGGGACCTTGTTTCATTATTAACCAGCTTATGGTTTGGTTAATGGTTAAGGACTATTGCATGCCTTTGTTGTCTCTGGATACAGGGAGGATCCAAGGGGAACAAATCAAAGCATGCCAGCAGTTTCTCTTGTCACTGTGCATTATACAAGTACTTCAGAATACAATCATTATAAATGAGCTCACACCCCAAATTTATTTATTATTATTATTTATTTAAAGCACTTATATTTATTTATTTATTTATTTCACAGTTTTCTATACTGAGCTTCTCAACCTCATTGAGGGACTCAGCCCGGTTTCCAGCCATAAAAAACATATACACTCATTAAAATATCATATATCACAATTACAAAAACAACTTTAAAAACACTATATATAAAACTACAGTGGTCAGTCGTCCTATTAAATGGATCTACATCAACTTCCATCCAGGGTCCTATGGTGCTGTCTCATTCATCGAAAGCCTGTCTCCACAACCACGTCGTCACCCGTTTCCTGAATGTCAGGATAGACGGGGCGGTTCTGACCTCCAGTGGGAGAGAGTTCCAGAGTCGCAGGGCCACCACCGATAAGGCCCTGTCCCTCGTCCCCACCAGGCGCTTGTGAGGCCAGTGGGACCGAGAGCAGGGCCTCTCCAGATGATCTTAATAATCTTGATGGTTCATAGGGGAGAATACGTTCGGAGAGGTAACAGGGCCGGAGTCGTTTAGGGCTTTATAGGTCAACACCAGCACTTTGAATTGTGCTCGGAAGCTAATTGGCAGCCAGTGGAGCTGGCGTAACAGCGGAGTGGTGTGCTCCCTGTACCCAGCCCCCGTTAGTAATCTGGCTGCCGCGCGTTGGACTTGCTGCAGCTTCCGGGCAGTCTTCAAAGGCAACCCCACGTAGAGAGCGTTGCAGTAATCTAAGCGGGATGTAACCAAAGCGTGTACTACCGTGGCCAAGTCAGCCCTCCCAAGGTACGGACGCAGCTGGCGCACAAGTTTTAATTGTGCGAAAGCTCCCCTGACCACCGCTGAGACCTGGGGTTCCAGGCTCAGCGATGAATCCAGGAGAACTCCCAGACTGCGTACCTGAGCTTTTAGGGGGAGTGTGACCCCGTCCAGCACAGGCTGTAACCCCGTACCCTGTTCGGTCTTACACTGACCAGGAGTACCTCTGTCTTGTCTGGATTTAGTTTCAATCTGTTGTCTCTCATCCATTCCACCCTTCTCACCCCGAAGGGGACTCAGGGCGGAGCACAACATATAAATGGGAAACATTCAATGCCAAAACATACAAATTTAATCTTGTGGTGTCCTTGAATGGTAAATGTGGGCATTATTCCATGTGACTGCTGGGGAGAGAAAACTTGGCCTTCAAACTCATGTTTAAAGGGCAGTTTGGCTTATGGAAGGAAGCACAGCTAATAAGAGGCACACAGAATCCATTTAGCAGTTTCCAACCAGTTCCTCTGTATGTTCTTTGATAAAGCCAATCAATTACATATTCATGGGTGTCCCACCCACTGGTTTTCTGCCTCCTGCTGATTACACTGCGGTCTGACAGCTTAGATCTCAAATCCTGCATTAATTGTTTTTGCTCTCTGGGTCCGTAATGCGTCTATTCTACAATCTCCAATTAGTAGAATCGTGATTATACTGATGAGATTGTTGTTTGTTCCAGAAGGCTTCCATGATGTTGTCAATTTCCTTTCATTGTGAACTGTTGGGCCTGTACTTGCCTTACAAATTGTCCTTTTGTCCACTGATTCACAATTTATTTATTTATTTATTTATTTATTTATTTATTTCGAGGTTTTATATACCGACCCTCTCACCTTCAAAGAGGGATTCGGACTGGTTCACAACATGTGTTAACATACAAAAATATACAATAACAACACAATGCAATCATTAGACGATTAAAATATAAGCATCATAAACATTAAAACATTATCATCACAGTTATAAGAGCCAAATCGTCCACACAATCGCAATCCCAACTACCCTTCATCATCCTCCTTTCATGTGGGCAAAGAATTAAATCAATTGTCAAATGCCACGTTCCACAACCAGGTCTTTGTTAATTTCCTGAATGTCATGAGGGAGGGGGCAGTTCTGATCTCTAATGGGAGGGAGTTCCAAAGCCGGGGAGCCACCATCGAGAAGGCCCTGTCCCTCGTCCCCACCAGCTGTGATTGTGCAGGCGGTGGAACCAAGAGCAGGGCCCCTCCAGACGATCTTAATGGTCTTGATGGTTCGTAGGGGAGAATACGTTCGGAGAGGTAAACAGGGCCGGAGTCGTTTAGGGCTTTATAGGTTAACACCAGCACTTTGAATTGTGCTCGGAAGCTAATCGGCAGCCAGTGGAGCTTGAGTAACAGCGGAGTGGTGTGCTCCCTGTACCCAGCACCGGTTAGTAGTCTGGCTACCGCGCGTTGTACTTGCAGTCTTCAGACGAAGAGAGCGTTGCAGTAATCTAAACAGGATGTAACCAAAGCGTGTACTACCGTGGCCAAGTCAGCCTTCCCAAGGTACGGACGCAGATGGCGCACAAGTTTTAGCTGTGCGAAAGCTCCACTGACCACCGCCGAAACCTGGGGTTCCAGGCTCAGCGATGAGTCTAGGAGAACTCCCAGACTGCGTACCTGTGCTTTTAGGGGGAGTGTGACCCCGTCCAGCACAGGCTGTAACCCCGTACCCTGTTCGGTCTTACGACTGACCAGGAGTACCTCTGTCTTGTCTGGATTTAGTTTCAATCTGTTGTCCCTCATCCAGTCCGTAACACCGGCCAAGCACCGGTTCAGGACCTGAATAGCCTCCTTAGTAGCAGGTGGAAAAGAGTGATAGAGTTGGACATCATCTGCATACAGATGACACTGCACCCCAAAACTCTGGATGATCTCTCCCAATGGCTTCATGTATATGTTGAATAACATAGGCATGAAGCCGTTGGGAGAGATCATCCGAAGTTGTTCTTTTCTAAAGCTGATGGATCTTGCTATAAAACATTGGAAGTGCTTTGCTG